CTGACGTCCCTACTGCCCAGACCCCCAGGTGAGTGTGTGCCTGCGCGGGGCGGCGGATCCCCCGGAGAGCAGCCCCAGGCAGGGATGGAAACTGGAATGTCCAATGGCCCGGCTCCCTGGAGGGCCACAGTGCTGTTGGCCCAGGTCTGCCAGGTCTCCCGAGCCAGTTATGCCCCCCAGGGCTTGGCTCAGCCTGGTTGTCCTAGGGCCAGAGGCGCTCCTACCCACCCCCTTCTTAGGCCCCGTCTCTGAGCCTGAGAACCTGGGTTTGCCACAGGCTAGGGCGGTCCAGGCCCTTCTGTCGAGCCCGCAGCCTCATCTGTGTGTGGTGAGCGTGTCTGGCTGTGCCAATCATCTCACAAATATTTACTGAGTGCCTACTCTGTTCCAGGCACAGGAGACAAAACAGACACCGTCCCTGCCTTCCCTGAACTCACTCTGAAGTAGGGATGACAGAGGACACAAATCATCACAAGCAATTATAGAATAATTTCAAACTGGCAACCGTGGCACAGAAGGGAGAATGGGGGATCAGGGAGCCGTTTCCAGGAGCTTGACATAGGCTGGCACCAAGAAGGGCTCCTCAAGGAAGTGCCTTCAGAACTGAGACCCAGAGAGGTTACGGAAGAGTGTTCACAAGGCAAAGGTGGGGCAGAGTGGCTCAGGTGAAGCAGCTGCAGGCGGAGGGCGCAGGCGCACAGGCTCAGGCAAAGAAGACCCCGTCCAGTCACTGGTCGGGGGGTGGGCACTTCCTCTGTGAGTGTAGGAGTCTGGGCCATTGCAAATGCGTGTTGGCTTCAAAGTTCAGAGAAGCAGGGCCCCACTTCCCCACCTGCCTTCCATAGGCTGGGTGTCTGGACCTGTAAGCTAAGACTTCAGGCCCTTGAGGGCAGGGAGTTCCTGGAGCGATGAGAGGACCTAGGCTGACTGAGGGTCTAAGCTGGGCAGGGGCAAGACATTAGGCATTGTGGGTGTATTTGGGTAGCTATTAAATGCGGTAAATTAAATGTTTGTGGGGATCTCTAGCTGGTCTGGCTCAGTGGATAGAGCGTCAACCTGCAGACTCAAGGGTCCCAGGTTTGTTTCCGGTCAAGGCACATGCCTGGGTTGCGGGCTCAATCCTCAGTGTGGGGCGTGCAGGAGGCAGCTCATCAATGATTCTCTCTCATCATTGATATTTCTATCTCCCGCTCCCTTCCTCTCTGAAATCAATAAAAAAAAATATTTAAAAAAATGTTTGTGGGGAATGGCATATGAGTGACTGACTGAGGATGGGGAGCGAGTGGGGCTGTGCGTCCCTATGGAGATTCAAGGGAATATTCTATCTGGGACTTGGCAGCTAAAGATCAGCTGGCCTTTGGACCTCTGCCCGTCTCCTCAGACGCCCAAGGAGAACCTCCAGCTGCCCTTGAGGTGTCTCCTCCCCCCTCCTCTACCTGCTCAACCAGAGATTTGACTCCAGCCCCAGAGGTGACCCCTCTGCTACCTTCATCCTCTGGCTTCCACCGCAAGCACGTCCCTTCCCCAGGTCCCCATTTGCTTTTTTCTGTGCTCAAACGTCACCTCTATGGCCCTTTCCTGATCCCCAGCCAGGGGTGTCCATGTGTGTCCCCACTATATAGGGAGCACTTCGAGGGTTTATCCCTCAGACCCGAGCTGTGCCATGACTTAGTAGTTAGCAGGGAACGTGCCTGCATTAATGCAGGGAGGTGAACCAAGAAGTGGTGGGTGAGGTGGAGGGAGGTATATACAAGGATGGTGATGGCCCTCAAACCCCGAGAGCACTGGGCGGGATGTGACAGCTGTGGACCCTTGAAGGGTATGGGGGTCCTGGGGACACTGGAGGCATCTATTTGGGGAGATCATTCATCAGGGTGTGTAGATGGGGGTGGCTCTCTGTGGGTATAGGATATTGTAGACAGACCCTGGACTCCCAGACTCCTGGGCCCTTCCTTCTGTGACCCTCACCCTGAGTCCTTCTTACTCTGGGGGGAGGGGCAGCAGGGTCAGAGCTAGGGCTGAGGTGTCCAGCAGGTGTTGGGGATGCTGATTCCTTTGGGGAGTGACACACACCCAGCTGGCTGCCCAACCTCCCCCACCCTGGGGCAGGAATGAGGGACAGCTGCCACGTTATCAGGGACACATTTCCTGGGAGCCCAAGGCCTGACTCACGGAAGCTCAAGAGGGAGGGGCCCTTTGGCTTCCCTCTAGCCCCCCACCTGCCCTCAGCAATGCCACAGGGCCACGTGTCTTTGTTTACACCTTTATTGCCGGCTCATGGCTCATGCCGTCCCCAAGGATTCCAGGGCACAGAATATCCCGACATGCGGCACGGAGGCCCAATTATCTGAAGCCATTGCAGTCTAGGTGGGTGGGGAGCTCTGGAGGTTCAGGCAAAGGGACTGAAAGCCGGTTAAGTCACATTCCAACCCCACTGGGAAGGAAGTAGAGGGCTGGAGGGGGTGGGGAAGGAGGAGGGGAGGTGGTCCGGGGAGCCAGACCCCTCAGCCCTGAATCAGGGGGGTCAGTAGTAGCAGCAGGAACAGAGCAGCAGGAGGGGAACCTGAGGACCCAGCCATGTCCAGAGGACAGAGGTAGCTGCCTTCAGGGGGCCAGTAGGGGGAGCCACTGGGGGGCAAGAAATGAGCCTCTCCCACTATCTGGGAGATCCAGGCCTCTTCAGGGCCAATGGTGGCAAACAGCTCCCGGCTCCCTCTAACAGCCATGCCCACAAGGACCCAGGAGCCTCCCTCACTCTGGCACAGGAGCGGAGGTGCGGAGGTCACCTGCGGAGTGAAAGCCAAGGCCAAAGGGTCTCTTACCCTTCCCCCGGGTCCCCCATCCCCCCGCACCTTCTCCTAGGGCCCAGCCCAAAGTTTGCTTGTCTCCATCCTTAGGCATCCGCCCTGGTCGCTCTCCAAGGTCCAACCAGGAAACACTACTTCTACCCATTTCAGGCCCAGCTCCCAAGAATTTTAACCCTGCGCTCTCCCCCGGGCCTAGCTGCCCAGCCCTGCCTGACCCCTCCCTGGACCAGGACACCCAGGCCCCTGTACCTCACACCTGTCTTCCTGCCCCTCTGCATACAGGACACAGAGGGTCCCGGGGGGCAGAATACCCTCATGGAGGCAGTGACAGAGTCGTGGTGTCAAGATGGAGACAGCAGCAGCCACAGGGACTAGAGAGGAAAGAAGGTTGTCCCAGGGATGCTGGTCTCTAGTCACTTCTCACCCCCGGGACCCAGGGCTCTCACCTCGGTCCTGGGGGTCCTTCCAGCCCAGCACCCAGCAGCTGCTTCCCAGGGGGACACCCCCTGTGTGAAGGCAGATAGACAAGGCTGAAGGGGAGGGCTCCACCCGGGAGCTCAGCTCTAGGAGGGCCAGAGGGGGCCGAAGGCCCAGGTGCCGGGGCAGGCGGATGCTGATGACCGACCGGGACACCTGGTGGCCCTGTGGGAGGGGGCTGGCCCCAGTCCGGCCCAGGTACACTTCAATGTAAGGCACTGTTGTAGAGCCTGGCCTGTTGGAACAAGGCCCATGGTTACCTCCTGCCCGCCCTCCACCCACATCCCCCTCCTGGTAAAGTCTTTCCCAGCCCAGGGGAAAGGGTGGAATGAATCTCCAAAGTTATTCCACTAACTCCTTTATTATTGCTCCCCCTAAATCTCTCTCCTGTCTCAAAACCCTTCACAGAAGCTGCCCTGTGCTCTAAGCTCTCAAGGGGGACTACCCCACAACT